AAACAATTTCTGACCTGCACAACTATTACTCAAGCAGTGTTTCAACATCAGATGCATAACAGAAAGTAAAAGAGCAGGTGAGAATCAAAGCTGAGGCTGTTACAAAAATAACTGCACTAAATTTAAGTGATAAAATTAGATACTTACACAAGTATTATTGGTTTGCCTGAATATTCTTCACCAACAACAATGGGAGGCGAATCCATTTGCACTACTTCAATAGGTGTTTGTAAAATGTGTGACAAAGCCCTTAGCTTTAAGGCAAAAACAATTTAGTAATAGGATTAAAGACAATGTAGGCAGGAGACAGGAAGACTAGGGATTTAATTTTAGCAGATGGTTCAAACATAACATTAGTAATATTTTCAGAAAATAAACTTTACTAAAATAAGCAAAATTATTTTAACTTTTAGAACTTTAATTGAAAACTGATTGCCTTAAACTAATCATTGTCTAGAGGATGCAACACTGGGCTAGTTTCATTAATTTGCTAACTGTTCTTTCATAAAATTAAGACAAACTAAAATAAATACATATTTTTTGAAGCTCAAGTTCTCGTTTACATGACAACAACCTAACAATACTCCCCCACTCATAGTGTCAGTATTTCTAATGATATTTATACCAAATGAATTCACTAACTCGCATGCTGTAAATACATCAGAAAAGATGGTGGGAAAACAAAACAACCTACAACCACAAGAAAAAGTTCTAAATAAACTATTTATGACTATGCTCCCTTATGCCTTCAGATATTATTTTTAAAGAAGCCCTTTTTAAAAGGTATATTCACCCACTTCAGAATTTCACAAATAAAAATTATCAGTGCAATACTTACTTCCAGCTGACCACCCCATGCAGCTGTATTTGCTATATCATCACAGTATTTCTCAAATTCCTCTGCAGGGAAAGAAAAGACAACTTTTAGTACTTGTCTTGTTTGAGAACAAGCAACTGATGAAAAACACTGATTGTACAATGAAGAACTAGAGCCAGAAAAGCACAAACACATTATAAAGGAAAATATGTTGTATTTACTGAAGAGAAGGAGAGAAAAAGACTTGTCGAAAAAAAACCCCAAATGCATTCTGTTTTAGAAAGAAAATTTCAGACTGAAGAAAGGGATAAAAAAAAAGAGTATAAAAAGAAGTATAGCTAATACTTTAAATTTTTTATTCAGAGAACAACAGGTAACAACAAACATGAAATTGCATACAGTTTTTTTCCTGTTACGTTTCAGAGGATGTTTAGAAACTTTAGAAAAGAATATGACAGTGAGTAGTATATCTAGTTCTTACAGTAGCCAGGTGTCAGGTATGTTTTAAAAATCTTGCAACTGCATGTAGTTGGTTAAGGTTTCTTTAAATTTCCAGATTAGCTACCTTGTTTTTAACCTCTGAAGTATTTATTCTCAATAAAAAGTTCCTTTGTAAATAGCTAATTAAAATCTTTTCAGATCATCTTCTACACAAACCAGGTATAAAATGTGTAAATTATAAACCCTCGAGCTTTTGAACCTTACATACAGATTTTGAGAAAGACAATCTTCAGATTTTCTGAAGACTGCTCAGAATGACTTTTCATTCATTTCCTTTATAACAAAAAAGTACAATTCCCTGTTGCTGTGCAGAATTTTATTCAGTATTCTCCTAGGACACATTTAACCTGCGACAATAATCTCTGTCATCATGGGAAAGACAGCACCCAGTGACCACACGAAACCCACAGCAATGCCTATTAAACAAATGTAGCATTAAGTTAAGGAAATTTATGCAGTCATTTTTGTGGTGTTCCAGGCATAATGAATAAATCATGTATTGCTTAAATAAGAGGTACACAAACTCCGTTTTTACTCAGCCTACACCGTTGCTCCACACTAAAGCTCTTTGTACTTTTTAGTTCAGTCTACTTGTAAAAAAAATGTTCCAAAATACTTTGCACTGAAAAAACAAGATAGGATAAGAAAATGCATCTATTCGAACTATTATAAAATAGATTTGCTTGAATTTCATACCCATTTTTAACAGCTTTCCTGTGTGCATTGAAAACAGCAATATAAAACTTGACAAGAAAATCACTCCAACCGGGTAGAAAAGCTGTTTATAGTAACAAATAACATCCCAGAATGAGTTCACATCATCTAGTAACCAGCAAGTCCTGTTTTGTTTTTATTTAATGGGGAAAATATTTCTTAGATTAATTTAAAAAAATATATTAATTAGAGATCTAGGTGTACCAAGTTTCACAGCAGATCATAATTCTGTGCTCCATGGAACACAACAAAGTAACAAAGTTACAAACACCGTAGAAGTCTCAATTCAGCTGTAACTGAGATTTATCAGACACAGTGATAACAGTTTTTAAAATCTCACATGCTACAGATCTTACCTTTGCTATACATATCTCCAGTATTAGGGTTTGTAAGAAAAGGCAGGAAGTCATCAAAGTGACTTTGCATATACTTTGCTGTTTGGCTTCTCAGAGTGGCAACAGTCCAGGAATTTTGGTGATCCTTGAGCTGATCTTCAATAGCTCTGTACATGCAATGGCCATCTGAAGGGATTTGTTTAATCTCTAACTGCCTTGCTGCCAACAGGGAGGCAAGTTTCTGACTTTCAAGATGTCTAGCACCTGTTAAATTTTGTATCTCAGCTTCAGCTATTCTTTCTTCTCTTTCTTTCTCCAAAGCAGCTTTTTTCTCCTTAAATTAAAAACACACAAAAATTACATCAAATGTTAAAATTTAGAATATGCTTGTATGGTTCTTGGCTTAGCGCTTGCTTCTAACTCTTCCAATTTTTTCTCAGTACATTCTTATCTACAAAATATTTCTCTGAATCAGTAATACCAAGTAGAGACCTCCTAAACCCAAACTTTAGCACTGCTAAGTGACCAATATATCCTAAGTGCCTCCAACACCACACCCAAAATTATATGACAAGAGAAATCTTAATTACAGCAACATGCAAAATAACACTCATATAAAGGCTATTAATCATAGTCCTTTCTTCAGGATCAACTATTTCAACACTCATGTATGGGAATTCTAATTAAACATCAGAAAATACTGCTCTTTCATAAGAAGTGTGAGATCTACCAGTTAAGTATATGACTGCATAATGGAGCTCATGCCATGAAACTGAAACTCCCTCAGGATAGGTACTCTATATGATAAAAGACTGCTCCTAACCTAAAGGATGGATAAGAAGGCATGTAGAGAGTATTAGCAGGGATGCAATAATACAAAAAGAAAATTACTTTCATAGAATGTTTCATAAGATCATGCTGGTGTTAACAAAGGAGCCAGAATCAAAGTAAACAGCAAGTAAAAAAGGAAGCAGTATAAAGAATGATCTTCCTATTTTCAGACTTAAAATTCACCACAAATCAAGACCAGACTGGTTTAGACAATAAGAATATAAGAAAACTAGAGCAAGGTTCCTGGTTTGCCTAGACAGGGTGCCATGAATTATGAACATCCTTTTAACATCTTTGTAGTGATCATGTAACAGGGGATGAAATATGCAATAAAGCATTGTTCCCCTGGTCCTGACCCAATATTCATGTAGGCACAAGGAGAATGTTAATCCATCACAACATCTGATGTTTAACCAGATCTAAGCCTAACAGACAGGACGTTAGGTAGTGTTTCTTAACAACTCAATATTTTAAAAGAATTTCTTCAGTATTGATGTTCTTTCGTTAAATGTGTAAAGTATTACTAGTTGCATAATTTCCACATACTATTTTGATTCAATTATTTTACTTCTTTAATAATACTTTTAGTGAAAGTCTTTCAAAAATCATTTACTTTACTTAATTTCTTTTTTTATGGCTCCCATTTTCTGACCTATTCTGATTCCTGGCTCATGGCTGAGGGTAGAAAAGTACAATTATTTCTAAAATCCTCACATATCTCTAGGCAGCACTTTAACAGATTTTCAAGGCACCCAGTAGGTACAGAATCAATACAGAATTACCCAGGTAATGTCCCCTGCAAAATTGTTTACCTTTGGCTATTACAGTTAGGTTTAGTTGAACATAAAGTCAATCAGTTATTTGCAAAATGTTTAACGTGAAGTCATACCCGCCTCTTCTGTGCTTTTGATATTCGATGATGCTGAATCTGCTGCTCTACTCCTTCAAGCTCTATATTTGCAACCCCATCAGCTATGGAATCTGTCTAAAAAGAAAAAATAAGTTAAATGTTCTTATTAGTATAAACAATAACTAAGATATGCATATTCTGAAAAAGTTTTAAATTCTCTTCCAGGGCATTTTTATCAAGTTTAACCACAGAGATCTATGTATAGCACAGAAGCCACCAAACCATTTCACATCCCAAACTACTGTCTTGCATTCTGTTACTTTTCTGCAGTCCCAACAGAGTTATGTGCATCTCAAATTTAAGCTGTATGTTCTCTTACATACTGGAGAGTGAATACTGCTTACTGGCTGAAAGGAAAAGCTTTCTTCACCATGCCAGCCATTAGCAAGTTCTGTGAAAATTAAAGTAGAAGGGCCCATCCCCTGTATCAAAGCATAACCAGCAGTTGAAAAAGACTGAGCTCAAACTTCCCAAAAAATAAATGACAAACCTAACCCAGTAACTGTAAGAGCCATACAAAAAAATCAGTTACACTGTTGAAAAAATTGCAAGACAAAACACACTGGATGAGTCGAACACTTGTTGAAGGTCATCAATAGTTTAGTATTATATACAGAGTGACAATATAACAATAACTTGAAAAATAATTCTCTAACATAACTGAGTTACTCATGTAGCCTTAAAGGCAACACCAAATACTACTTGTGCTGGTGCACCTTTCCCCCACTCTACATTTAATTTCTGTTACAGCTTGGCATTTGTGATTTTCCATGTAAGCCTCCTCCATGGATTCAGTAACAGAGTAAATCTTGCCATCGAATTTTGTCATGCTTTTGCAAATTTATATTAAACTTGCTTTTGAAATATCTTTTACAGCCATTCTTCAAGCAATCAAATCACTCTCAACAGTGCTCAACAACAAAAACCTCCTACTGTTAAAGGCCGCTTCTAGTACTGCCCATTTATTCTAAGAGCTAAAGTTTTCCTAAGTTTGAAAGCTACTAATACTGTGAAGAAAATGATAAGTACTTTGAGGTGTTATTTCATTATAATTTTAAAAAGTTAAAAAAGCCCTAACACAAACTGTACCTGTACAACTTCGTCTGAAGCCAGGGCACATACCTTATTCTGTTCAGGTGAAGCTTCCTTCAGCTGCTTTAATTCCTCCTTGTGCTTCTGTTCAAGTTCTGCCTCTAGTTTGGCAACTTCATCTGCCAGCTGTTTTCGTCTCTTCTTATCATTCTTGGGAACAGCATTTTTCATGCCTTGAATTTTTGCTGTTAGAAAAGCAGTGTAATAAAATAATATTTCTTAATATATACTCTATAGTCATTGCAGAAAATGACTGCAAGTCACACAGAAAAACTATTTACAAACATCAACAAATCAGTATAATAGTTTAGCTGTGAGACTGCTGCTTATGATCCTTACATTTTCCAAATGGCTATATTTTGTCTTTAAAAGATGCAAACTGCCTTTTATATTCTTTCTCTGAAGAAGAGAAAAACTTATGCCAGGTTACTAATAAAAATACATCTGAACTTCATCAGTGCACCAGACTTTGGCCTGTTGCCTTCAAAAAGATTATGAGGGCATCAAAATATCAAATCTCACAAGAAAGAGGTGCAATTTTTTAATCACACAAGACGCAGATTAAAATTAAAACCTGAGTTTACCCATCCTTAAGACAAAGTTTCTAAAAGCAAAATGGGTATTCGAAAACAAAAAAAAAAACTTAACTTGATTAAAGTCCCTAAGTATTTCTAGGCTGTAAGTCAATGCTTCATTTCTAAAATCACGGAATAGTTTGGTTAGAAATGGTGTCCAGAGGTTACCTAGCTCTGTCTCTGCTCAAAGTGGGGCTGAACTCAAAGCTATATCAGGTTATGTTAATTCAGATGCACCTGAAATTTATTCAGGTGACTGTGCAGTCTCCAGGAACAGGCATTCTGCAACCTTTCTGGGAAACATTTTTTTCCAATATTTAATTATTCTTGCTATGAAAATATTTTCCCTTATTCCTCCCTTAAGATTTTTCTTGTTGCCCTTCAGTCTGTGTCTCTAGTCCATTCTCTCTACTTTGATGAGTCTGGCTCCAGCCATTACACAGTGGAAACTGCAACCAGACTTCCCCATAGTCTTCTCCTCATGTGTTCTTAAATGAACACTCCTGCTACCTCTGTCACTTCAGTATTCACTGTTTAAGAGTTACAGCAGCAATTATTTAACACCCTGCTTGCTATTCATCACCTGTACATTCTTCTATCCTTCACCCTTGACTGACACAACTGTGAGCTGAAGATGATGGCAGTGATAATGAAACTTTTCAAAGGGAGGCAGGAAGAATGCTTATACTGAAAGATTTATGTGAAGCATTCAGCCCCACCGATGAATAACATGAGTATGACAGAAAAGCACCCTTGTTCATTAAAATTAACATAATAGAGGAGAAGGGAATTCAGAACATAAAAGGCACACACAAATACACAGAGGAGAAAAGGGGGGGAGGGGTGAAGACAAGTACCATCAACCGGAGAAGGTGTTGGATTTTCAGAGGTTGAGATGCACCTTGTGTTAATTGTTACAAACAGTTTTGCTCTCTGGTAAACAGTCATCAATGCACATACCAGGAACGTTTTTTTTCTAGTAGGCACACACATTCCTGTAAGTCACCTGCCTGTCCCAATCCCCTGCCTTGTGTTTACCTTGTGTTTAGTGGAGAACAACCATTATCACCCTCTCTAGGTGTAAAAACCCTCTGCTCCTCAGCCACTCCCCATCAATGTGCCAAGTACCCCAGCTACCTATGACAATGCTTGATTCCTACCCCTCTTCAATTTCAACCAAATCCGAGGGAGGAGCAGGCATCTCAAAACAGTAAGTTCCTAAAGATTTAGTGATAATTATATAACCTGACCCCTCTCTTCTTTAACCCTCTGATAAAAGGCTGCAGATGAGCCTATTTCAATGCATACCAAAAAAAAACCTAATCAAGGAAAAGGCCGTATCACTATCAATGAGAAAGGCTTAACAAAAGTGTTATAATTAACTATGAAACTCAACAGAATTCATCCAACAGACCTATTTAATTATATGAATATATTGTAATAGAGTAGGTCAATATAAAAGTGTTACAAGTTCATATTGAAGCACTGTAAGACCACACAGGTCTTTTACTACAGATACTTTATTATGGCTGGATAGGACATGAAAATTCAGTTCAGGTCAACTGCACTTGGAATGAAGAAACGTAACAGGCTGGGCAGGAAGAGCCTCTAGGCAGGCTTTTCAATCTAAAATGTATTAAATTCAACTTAAAACCAAAGTACCAAAACGCGAACATCACGCCAATGGCCCAGCATTAATTAAGTCGCAGGTCCCGCGCATCTGCGGCTCCCAAGGCCAGGGCAAGGCGAGCTCCGCAGGCCGCCCGCAGGACCAGCACAGCCCGGCTGCCACACCGCTGCCCGCCCGCCCCAGGCCGCTACCGCCGTCCTCGTCCCCCTGCGAGGGCACTCCGGGGCTGCTCCCTCCTTCTCCACAGCCACCGCCGTCCCTCCCGCCCCTGCCGAGCGGGGCTTGCCGCAAGGGAAGGCGGAGAGGGGATGCCGAGCCCAGCCGGCCCCGCGTGTCGCCACCGCCGCTCCCCAGCCTTCCTTCTCCCCGCCCGCCCTGCGCCGGCCACGGCGTCCCTCACCCTGGAGCTCTCGCTTCTCCTTGCGCTGCCTCTTCACCAGCTGCTGCAGCGGCCCCTCGGCCTCCTGCTCCTCGCCCCCCGAGCCCTCCATGGGCGCTGGGAGCCGGCGGGCGCCGCTGACCCCCGACCCCGGCAGGAGGCGGGAGCTCCCCGCGCTTCCGCCAGCGCCGCCCCGCCCCGCCCGGCGCCGCCTCCGCTGCGGCGTGAGGGGCCGAGCGGCCCGGCCTCCCGAGCCTGGGCTGGAGCCTGGGCTCCGCTCTTGGGAAGGAGAGGAAGCGCTTGGTTTGTTCAGGGGCTGTGAGCGTTTCCGTCCGCCCATACCTGCGGGGTACTCGCTCCTGCCTCAATGTCCCCGTAAAGCACTCCCATGGACAAGTCTGCGCTAGGAAAAAGCCATGCGTTTAGTTCAACTAGAGGTAGATCCTGTTAAACCCCTGTTTAAACCGCAAGTGAGAAGGGAATGGGTTAGGGTTTTTACGTAATTTATCACATTAAGGGAAAATAAAAATTATTTAACCTGTTCATTTCTGTGCAAAATACACAGTGTGCTGCGTGTGCCAGTTTTTCTCATGAAGCTCAAAAACAGTAGAAAGGCTCACGATTTTCTAATCAGCGGTGATTGTGTCTCCTCACCGATGTGAAATTACTCCTCAGAAAGTGAAACATTTTTGTTACAGTAAAAAGCCAGACTTCGTGTTGGGGGCCAAATCAGCATCTCAAAGTAAGAACTACAAATTGCGTAGCGAGATGCTTTGCAAGCACCAACACTGGAACATTCAGTTGACATGGACAAAATATAGCCTATAAAAGTTAATATTTTAATAGTGCTTAACATTACTCAAACTGAGCAAAAGCTCAGTAATAGAACTCCGTTTGCCTTTAACTCTTAAGGTCATTGCTGTTTTTAATTTTTATGAACTATGTATATCTACAAGAATACCTCCTTGGAGATATTTAAAAAGCAGTAAATGTGGTTCTTAGAGATATGATTTGGTGATGGACTTGGCAGTGCTGGGTTAACAGCTGGACATCTTTCCCAACCTAGACAATTCTGAGATTCTGTGAAGTACAGTGTCAAGTGTAAAGAAAGGACATAAGTCTTAAACAGAATCATAACATGATATATCAAACTCTCTTGCTGTATAGAACCACTTTTTTTTTTTAGATTAGAAATATGTTGAAATATAAATTATTTTCAGATTCATATGTCAATACCTGAAAATATAATTTTCCTTTACTTCACCTGCTATTTCCGTCTTGTTAGAATAAAAGAGATCATACATCAGCTAAGAAAAGAAAAGGCAAATTGCCTTTTAGCTGGAAAACACTGTAGCACTGGGAAGTACTAGGGTGGCTTTGTAAATATTCTGCTAATCCAGAATAGGAACAAATCCGTGTTGGATTTGGTTTGAACGAATATATATGTGCTCTGTATCAGATTGTCTATGGCATATATTTGTCCACATGTGTATCTATATATGAATATTATTACATTTAGTACATATTCTTGAAAATACTGTGTATTTTAAAATAGAATACCAGTTTATACTGTAGAATACCAGTTTATGCTGTTTGGAAAACACCCCTTGCAGATATCTCGGTGTGCCCTGGCTGGGGAAGGTGGCTGGGGACCCAGGCAGTGAGCTGTGACTGGGCAAGGGCCCTTTGGGGACCGGCAGCACCAGCCAGGGGGTGGCCGCTCACCGCAAGGCTCTGCGGGACCTGACGAGCAGCGAGGAGAGCCCAGACCAAAAACCACCGCTGGACCAAGAGCTGTGTGAAGAGCGGGTGAGGGAATAAAACTCCTGTGATTTTGGGAGGGTCCTTCCCCAGAGGCACTCAGCTGCACCACGATTAAGTCACTTAAAGGTTAACAGCGCGTCTGGCACTCTGCTGTTACTCGAGGAGCAGGCAGGAGCATTGTGCCAGGAGCATTGGCCGGCTGTCACCCGCAGTGGCACTCGGCAGGACAATGGCCGTCACAAGGCGCTTTTTGACCTAAACAAATTAACTTTCCTGCGGCAATGTCTGGGAAATGGATTCCCAGGCCGCATGGATTATTGTTATGTTTGAAACAGCTGTGCGGGGATGAGGAGTCAGCAGAGGGAAGCCGAACCCACGGTGACACTGGCGGTGGCAGGGGCTGAGCCCCAGAGCAGGAACCCCGGTGTTCTGCGTGCATCGGCACCGCCCTGCCCGATCGCGGGGATTAAACTCCAGGAATCCCGGCGCTCTTTCTGCCTCGGCACTGCCCTGGCCTTTAAATACTCCTTCAACACCATCTAACTTTCCTCCCGTGGGGAAACACTCAAGTGTTTGCCAAACGCCCGCGGAGTCCGAGTCATTTGGCATTTTGGGGAAGGGAGATGCCAAGGCTGAGGGAAGATAGCAAGAAATGTGCTCAGCTGTAATACATGTACTGGACATGACCCAAGCTAGGGGATCGTGCAGGTGCTTTTGAAAGAACTGTTCTGGCCAGGTGAAAGGGAAAAAATAATAGCCAAGCAGAACTGGCACAGCAAACAGAAAGAAACAGGAACCCCTGGCCAGTGAATGACCCGAACTGGAATGATAATACCATGGAGAACAGGGCTGCATGTCAGACAAGAGTTCAAAGCCTGGTTGAAGCAATATCATCATGAGGAATGAAAGGTTAACTGGACTAAAATAATGGAATGTAGACAGAGAATGGACAACAATCCTAGAGATTTTTGGGGCTGCCTCCAACAGCTAGAAAATGGGGGAACGACTTCACAAAACTTTAATGGTACACTTGAGATTAGTGTCTTTGTAGGTCAGGCAGCACCAGACAGCCACAAGTATTTTAAGGAGCATATGCCAGGGTGGCAGGGAGTAAAACTATAGAAAATTCACGTGTTGCAGTTTTCATGTGTGATGGGTGAAAGAAAAAACAGAGGGCAGAGCAAGTAGAGGAGAAAAGGGAAATTGGAAAAAGTGGAAAGTCTGATGGCTGTTGCCTTGACAGGAAATCTCCAGGGGAGAAAATGAATGAGAGGAAGACCAAATACAATTAGTGGACCCAAACCAGAAAGCAGAAAGAGACTGAGAAGGAATGTGGAAATGGAGTGTTACTATTGTGGAAATTTAGGACATAGACAAAGAGAATGGCCTTTCCAACCAAGTAGGGGAGTAATTGTGCAAGGATAGATTTTCACAATGACTATTCCACTGAATTTGAGGGAGCCATGCAATTAGAAATACACAATTTGTGGAGAACACCCAGATCAACAGGGACATATAATATCTGGGGAGTAGTTGTCATTGTTGAATTTCTGGTAGATACACGAGACACATAAACTTTGCCCCAAGAGAGTCAATAACAGACAAAGTATTCATACATGGAGCCACTGGGCAAGGAAAAAATTAAGTAAACCTGTATTAACAATGATAGGAAATAAGATTGTGCAGGGAAGATTTGTATTAGTAAAAGATTCCTCAGAGTGATTGTTAGGGAGAGAGCTTCTACAGGCCTTAGATGCAAAATTGCATTTGTCACCAGAAGGAATAGATTTAATAATGGCACTGTGATTACTGAGAGCTTAAAAAATGAACAGAAGATACTAGAAATATTGAAAGCTGTATTATCAGAGTTCTGGGGTAAGACCACTACAGGTAGGGAGCTGTTGGTTTCAGCACAGCTCATGTGCATTAAAACCAAGGCAGAAATGCCACCCTCTGTGAAACAGTATCCTTTTCCTCTGGAAGCTGGGAAAAGTACCCAAGACCAGATAGACCAATACTTAGGCAAAGGAATTTTAAAGCATAACACTCCTATATTGCCTGTAAGCCAGAATAGGTTAGATGAAGACCTTGAGTACTTGTGCAGGATTTGTGGGCAATTAACCACCATGCAGTGACCCCTCACCCAGTGGTGCCAGGCCCCTTGACTATACTTTTGTAAATACCACTTAAAGATGGCTATTTTATTGTAAATAATTTAACAGATGGCTTTTTCAGCATCCCAATAAATGAAGTCAACCCGTGTTTGCCTTCAAACTGTACTGTTAACACAGTATATTTTAGATGCAAAAAAAGTATGTAAGAGCAGAAAAGAGTATGCTCAATAGTATCAGCACATGCCATCTGAAATACAGGTATATAATATATAGCCTGGAGATGAAGTTTTAATTAAGGTATTCGCTAGAAAATCCAAGTTAGCAGCAAAATAAGAAGGCCATATACTTTCCTACTATGTCTTTACTTTGCTGATTAAAGTTTTGCTGTTTAAGTTTTAGGAAGGAAAACTGGATACACTATTCTCACATCAAGTGAAGAGTGGGCGATCAATCAGTTGATACATGAAAGACTTCTGAGAATCTGTGGTGATTTTGTTTTTGTAATCATTTGAGTATTTGTGCACAGGAATCTATGAATTTGTATTCTGCACTATGGTAATCTTGGTAGCCTTAATTTTGTTATGTTTGTTACTTGTAATAATGCTGTATGTAAAAGCAGTGGTGAAATGCCTCCAAAGTTTTTTCTTTTTCCTTTCAGTGTATTAGCAGGAGGACTGCTGAGCAATACACCCAGTTCAGATTGCTTGGTGTGTGACATGCTCACTGTGCCCTGGACAGCTGGAACCAGAAGCAAGGAGCCATGAAGGAGCACTGACCTTTTACCTGACAAAGGGCACGTGGACCTACAACACCAGACAGGCAAGGATGGTCAGTCACCCAGAGACTCTGCAGGACCCAGTGAACAATGAGAAGACCCCAGAACAAAACCCACCACTGGATCAAGAGGTGTTTGAGGCACAGGTGCATAGGTTGTGAAGGTATAAAACCCCAGTGATCTTTTTGGTGGAGGTCCTTCCCCAGAGGCACCCAGCTCTGTAAGTTGCTGCACCACAATTAAATTACTTAAAAGGAACAGGACATCTGGGACTCTGCTATGGGAAACCTGGGGTCAAGCTGATGAGGGGAACTTAGGTCTGGGTGTGGAGTGTGCAGAGAGTCAAACTTGTCAGGTCACTGGATCGACTTGCTGCAAAGGGGCTTCTCTCCCAGCATTAAAATTTGGAGTGGTGCAAGTGGGACTCCCAGATTGCCATCAGAATGGTCAGATGGGAGAGTTTCCTTAACATACAACCTTCTACATTTCCGGTTTTTTTTTCAGAATGTTAGAAATCACAGCAAAGTAAAAAAAAAAAAT